AAAGTGTATTTATATAGTTCATCCCAAACAACCCTGCAAGAAATTAGCAAAGACATTTTTTATTAATGACTAAAATAACACATCATGGGTTATAACCAAGTCATAATTTGTATATATATTATAGAATTTTCCGTTGTATTTATTTTTTTAGAAAAAAATTCTTTGATATAAGTGAAATTCATGATTTTTGATAAATTTGATTAACATAAGTAAGAATTTGTTTGAAATTGAGAATATACTTTCTTTTTAAAAAAAAATTTTGAAAGAAATTATTTATATAACCTATTTTACTTAGGATCACACACAGTGACAATAATTTTTATTAGTCATTAACACATCTATTTGTATTGAGCTTTCAGTTGTTAAAATTTTTTATACATAAGTACTAAGACGCAAAATTAATTTTTTATTTTAAAAATAAATTTTTGTGTATTGCACAAGCTACCTACTAAATAGAATTCAAAATAATGCAAATCGCAAACTACATAAATCATTAATGTAATTTGCCCTATTTAATTAAGAGGAGTTACAAGACGCGTACATGTTTGAATTAAAATAGTTTTCAATAATTTTTTATTAATTTGGATAGCTTATTTTAATTAATTTTTTTAACTATTATTTAAATAATTTAAACTTGACGCGACCCTTTGTCCATCATATGGAAGCCATCCCATACCATTCTTCTCACAAATTTGTTCACGCACTTGTAAACAATAAACAAGATTTCATTGGTTGAATCATGAAATCAAATGGTGTATATTTTTCACACAAAGGTGAACAAATTTACACTTATTGTTTTAGTCTATCTAGAGGCGGAATTACATCGAGGCAAAGGGTCACATGTTCCCTGTGTTAATGTTTTGAGAAGGATTCACGATGTTTGGTTTCAATTTTTGGGATTTTATTTTTTTGAAATTGAATTTTTTATTTTTCATATTTTTTTATTTTTACTGAATTTTTTAAATATTTTAAGCAATTTTTTTATTTTTTACATACACCTAACATAAATACACTTATAAAGTATAATATTTGTAAAAAAAAATTTTAAAAAATTCACTAAATACCAAAAATATAAAATATATATATATGAGAATTCAGTACATTTTCGTATTCTTGTGTATTTATTGATTTTTTAAAATATTTTTTTATAAATTTTTTTACTTTTTTGATACATCTAAGTAAGGTGTATCCAAAAAAGTTAAAAATTGCTTAAAATTTTAAAAATATTCACTAAAAATTAAAAAAAAACACGAAAAAAATATGAAAAATAAAAAATTCAATTTCAAAAAAATAAAATCCCAAAAATTGAAACCAAACATCGTGAATCCTTCTCAAAACATGTAAAATTCTTTTGTATTTTAAAAATTTTGAAAGTGCTCTATTATAATTTTTTTGGTCAATCTTTTATATTTCAAACTGAAAAGTTAATGGTAAAAATTGAATTAATTGAACAATTTTTTCTTATTTGTTTGGTTGATTGAGTTGATTGTTTTTCTCCATTGTGGGGGCTTTTTTTTTTTATTGAGTTGATAGTGTTGAATTAGTTAATCATAAATTCATATAGGTTATTAATTGTGGATTTGTATGCCATATCGATGTAATTATCATGATAATTGTGGGGATATATTTTTTGAGTACCAACACGTGGCATGGTGACGCCGACGTGTCAGCCGAGGTGCCACGTGTCGTGGTAGTTATGCCGAGGTTATCTTTGGCGAGGCCGAGGTAATCTCCGAAGATATCGAAATCCGAGATAAGCGGATAAGGAACAAGAGTCCTAGAGTAAAGAGAAAACTTAGCCAAGATAAGGATAAAACTCGTAGGGAGTTTATCTTTATCTCTTGAAGAGTCCAAAGTCAGTATTGAGTTGGAGTCCATAGAAGTCAGGCTTCTAGTGGGACTTGGATTAAGTAAACTATAAAAGAGAGGCAGCCCCGTGGGTCTAAGATACGCAAATTATGTTTTGAGCAATAAGTTTAGCACTTGATTATCTTTGAGAGATATACTGACTTGATCGTCGAGTGCCCCGGGTGGAAGAGCCACCGCCGGAGCCTTTTTCTTTCTGTTACAGGTTTGCTAAAGCCATCTATTCTGCCGGTGCTTTCCAGCTGATTACTAGGCGGGCAGTGTGGTCAGATTTTCACCCACACAATTTGGCGCCGTCTGTGGGAATCTTAGAAGAATAGATGGCCAGTAACGGACAGAAAGAAAACATTGGGGGCGACACTCCTGCTGGGAGTGGCAGACTAATTGACCTTGACGTTGAAGGAGACAACCATAATGCAGAAACTCATGGCCAAGGCCACGGTGAAAAAGACATCAGCCAGGAGGGCGATACTTCGAAGAGAACAGATCAAAGCAAGTATTATAACGAAGATAACCTTCAAGTATGGAGGGATAGGTGCCTACGAAGGGATGAGGAAGTAAAAGACTTGGCAAACAAGTTGCAGACCTACAGTTAGTGGTCAACTTCATGATGCAAAATAATGTCATGCAGCCACCATACCCGCTGCAGGATACGCCAATGCCAGCAACTAATACCCAGAAGGGAGGAGGAAGAACGATCCCCGAAGTCCCTCAGCACACTAGGAGCGGAAGGCACTCTCACCGACCTTCCAAGGAAGGCGGACGAGAGGAGCCGAGACGAGAGGAGTCCCAAAGAACGTATCACACGAAGGATCCAGAGCCCAAAGAACATCGCCATGTTCAAGGGCAGGTGCTTTGCTTTGACACAACACATGGAGAGAGATCAAAACGTGCCCACCACGAGGCCGAAAGTAGTGTGACGAAGAGATTGAAATCAGAAGATGGCCGAGCTCCAGGAAGGAGTAAAGAAGACTTGAGAGATTACCTCAAGAGCAGGCAACAGAATGCTGAAGCCGAGGTAACTTCCTCGATTAAGCCGAGAACACCATTCTCGGTGGAACTGGACAAATTTCAAGCACCTAAGCGATTCAGTATGCCGAGGTTCCAAATATATGATGGTAAGACAGATCCCAACTTCCACGTCGGTCTATATCTGAATTCGATGGCATTATATAGTGGGAACGAGCCGTTGCTCTGCAAAGTGTTCCCCTCGTCCTTTGGGGAAATTGCATCAGATTGGTTCCACAAACTACCAAAGGGAAGCGTAAAGACTTGGGAAGGCCTGGCCGAGATGTTTGTGGCCAGGTTTGTAACAAATAAACTACAGCCCTTGAGGGTCGACGCCCTGATGGCTTTAAGAATTACCAAGGAAGAAGGCCTTAGAGCCTACGCGAAGAGATACCACGAGGTGTTCAATCGAATACCCGAATGCAACCAAGAAGTGGCGGTCGCGTCTTTCAAGAAAAAGGTACTACGAGGTGTTCAATCGAATACCTGATTGCAACCAAGAGGTGGCGGTCGTGTCCTTCAAGAACGGCCTGAAAGATGACTGCCAACTATGGAAATCTTTGGCAAAAACATTGCCAAAAAGCATGGAAGAACTCTTGGCGAGAATAAAGAAGTACGCCAGAGCCGAGGAAGATACGTCAGGAAATAAAGAAACAAAGCAAGAGAAAGGAAACGGTTCGCCGAAGCGAAGCCCAGGCAACAATGGACCAACCAAACAAGAATTCCAAGTAGAACTCAGGTTCACATTTGGGGCAGAGAGAACCCAAGTCGAACTCAGGTTCACATTGGGGGCAGAGAGAAAACAGAGACACTTAATTCACTTGTTGAAATTTGTAGCAATTTACAAATTGGAATTAAGTTGATTCCTTATCTTCACTTGTTGAAATTTGTAGCAATTTAAAAGTCGAAGTTAAGCCGAGATTATTACTTAATTCACTTGTTGAAATTTGTAGCAATTTACAAGTTGAAGTTAAGCTGAGATTATTCCTTATCTTCACTTGTTGAAATTTGTAGCAATTTACAAGTTGAAGTTAAGCTGATTCCTTATCTTCACTTGTTGAAATTTGTAGCAATTTACAAGTTGAAGTTAAGCTGGTTCCTTATCTTCACTTGTTGAAATTTGTAGCAATTTACAAGTCGGAGTTAAGCTGATTCCTTATCTTCACTTGTTGAAATTTGTAGTAATTTACAAGTCGAAGTTAAGCCAAGATTATTCCTTATCTTCACTTGTTGAAATTTGTAGCAATTTACAAGTTGAAATTAAGCTGAGACGGTTCCTTATCTTCACTTGTTGAAATTTGTAGTAATTTACAAGTTGAAGTTAAGCCGAGATTATTGTTTCTCTTCACTTGTTGAAATTTGTAGCAATTTACAAGTCGAAGTAAAGCCGAGGTCATAGTTTGCACACTTATAGCAATCTACAGGTTGGCCCAACCAAAGAAGATGCTTAACACTTGTTGAAATTTGTAGCAATTTACAAGATAATATTAAGCTGAGACGGTTCCTTATCTTCACTTGTTGAAATTTGTAGCAATTTACAAGTCGAAGTAAAGCCGAGGTCATAGTTTGCACACTTATAGCAATCTACAGGTTGGCCCAACCAAAGAAGATGCTTAACACTTGTTGAAATTTGTAGCAATTTACAAGATAATCACTTGATTGAAACATTGAGAAACGTTCACAAAATTGACATTGAATAGTATATGTCTTACACTTGTTGAAATTTATGAAAAGTTTGCAGGTCAGTATCTTGCCGAAGTAAAGCTTGTAGTTATTATACCCGAGATATGTAACCCCGAGAAGATTGCATAAAGGTGGCAAAATATGAAAGGCATACAAAATATCCTAAGTATAGAAACATGCAGAAGCAAATCAAGAGAAATTAAAAGATTAAAGCATCCATAAAAAAACAGTTGAAGTTGTGTACAAAAGAAGGCACTACGGCCTACCAGAAGTAAATTGTTTCGAAATAAACAAAGAAAGGCACATCGGCCATGAAAGGAAGCTTACATTGTCCAGAAAACAAAACAAAGTACAAGGGTGCAAAAGAAAAGACATGAAAGTTAAGACTTTTCAGCATCAGCAACTGGCTAGATCTGAACCTCAGAAGTCTCTAGAAGAGATACCTCGGCTTCCTCATCTGCAGCAATCTCGGCGTCGATCTCGGCAAGGGTTTCATCAACGCTCTTGCCGATTTGAGGAATGTCGGATGAACCCTGCTCCGGGGTAGCCTCCTTGATAACTTCATCGCCATCATTATCTTGAGTCAGGTCCAGGACCTGCTCATTCAGAGAAGGAGACTTAGCCCCAACAGCCTCCTTGGATTTTCTTATTAAACCCTCATCATCGCCCCCTTCCACATCTTCAGACTCAGATTCAGATTCTTCTTCAGGATGACTTGGAGGAGGAGGGGGAGGGAATGGCAAAGGGATATCATCAGCCTTGCGCAATGGCGAGTCATCTGGGATGTTGAGCTTTTTGGCAAGGGCCATCCCCAACCAAGGAAGAAGCCCCTGTTGCATGCCTGCCTAACTTGCAGTTTGTACTCCTCAGTGACGTCGGCCATTCTTTGAGCATAAGCCTTCTCGTCAGCCTCCTTAATCTCAGCATCTTTGGTAACTAAGGCCTCCTGAAGCTCTTTTTCGGCTTGGGCCTTTTTTACCTCGGCCTCTCTCTTCTCGACCTCAGCAACCTTCTTAATGGCCTCGGCAGATTCGGCTTTTTCCTCGGCTAAACTTTGGGCTTTGGTGGCAGCCTTAGCTTGGTCCTCTTGTTTTTTCATCTTTGATTTGAGAGTTTTGTTCTCCTTTTTCAGGGCAGAAACCTCCCTCTTCATGACGACCAATCTTTGCCGATTTTCAAAAGCTTGCATGGAGAAAGAGTGGGCATGTTAGATGGCCTGAAAGAACACAAGGCACAAATTGCTACAAAATTTTACAAAGTAAGAGAGAAAACAAATTTCAGCACAAAAGCACTTACTTGGACAGAGCGTTGCAGCATAAAGGTGTAGTTCTCATACTCACTCATCTTGGCATTCCGCTCAAGATCGCCTAGGAGGAGTAAAGCAGTACTGAGTGCCACGCCGACGTTTATATCATCGGCACTGTCGCTGGCAAGGACAGGCTTATCCTCTAGAGTGATCTCAGGTGTCCAGGGGACTTTTAGTATTCTGGAACCCGTGGTCGTCGCAGACGATGACCTCGGCTTCTTTGATTGGGTGGACTCCGATGGCTGGGCCTCAGCAGACCTTTTTGCAGAAGCAGAAGCAGTTTTTTTACTCTCAGCCAATTTTCAGATGGGCAGAGCATCCTCAGCCTCAACCTCAGTAGCTTTGGCCTTGGGCTGGGCCTTTTTGATTCTTTTTGGCTTTGATGGGGGCATGGATTGAGTCTGAACAGCATCAACGTCGGCAGGTATGTCGGCTAAGAGATCTATAGCAACGGGCTTTGGGCGACCCATCTCAGCAATTCTGACAAGTCGTCGCCGACGTTTTCTTTCTGGTATTGGGATTAAGTATGGGGCTGAAGTTGAAGGTTGATCGGCTGGATCAGAGGTTAACCCTTGGTCAGCCCGAGATGTTGATGCGGTTTGTAGAGTGGTAGCAGAAGGAGGAGATAAGCTCTTCTTCTTTCTTTTCGGGACGTCGGTTTGGCTTTGATGGGGGCATGGATTGAGTCTGAACAGCATCAACGTCGGCAGGTATGTCGGCTAAGAGATCTATAGCAACAGGCTTCGGGCGACCCATCTCAGCAATTCTGACAAGTCGTCGCCGACGTTTTCTTTCTGGTATTGGGATTAAGTATGGGGCTGAAGTTGAAGGTTGATCGGCTGGATCAGAGGTTAACCCTTGGTCAGCCCGAGATGTTGATGCGGTTTGTAGAGTGGTAGTAGAAGGAGGAGATAAGCTCTTCTTCTTTCTTTTCGGGACGTCGGACAGTATAGACTTGTATGTCGGAATAAAATTCAGTACCAGTGGAGCATTGCGCTTTTGGATTGGCAGATCTAGGAGCCTCTTTAAGTTTTTGTTGGGAACGTAGGACTGGCGAAAATCCTTTGGTGGCTTGCGAACATCTGCAAGAAGAACAAAACATTAGAAACAGACAAAGTTTTGAAGACTTGAAAAAGAAACAACTAAGTAATCGACACTGGGCTCTTATCCTTGCCCTCTTTAACTGTTCGAGGAAGAGGGTATAGATGGACATCCTCGTCTGGGGCAAACTCCCAATTTCCAGAGGCAATGAAGTAGTCATCTCCAGCCCCCTTGTTGGAGTCTGGGAGGTCGGCTACAATTTTGAATTTGGTGGACCTCGGCATGAGGTAATAGACAAAACCTTTTTCTTTTAAGTTCAGGGCGCACATGGTATAACAATATTGGATATCGGCAAGGGTGATCCTAACGTTCTCCTGCCTAGCTAGGACTATGATACCATTAATCACTCGATAGGAGTTGATGGTAAGTTGCATGGGGTTCAACTTATGGTAGTGAAGAACTTCGCGAAAAAGGGGATTAAGTGGAAGCCGAAGTCCACATTCAGTAAAGGCTACAATGGGAAAGGGCATCATATTTTCTGTAGGCATGATGGAATCGTCATCCCCAGCTAGCCTAAGGTGAACATCGGCAGGAATAGAAAACTCTTGCCTAAAGTACTCCAGTTTGGTCAGGGTGCTTAACCTGTGCCTCCACATACCCATAGCGTCGGCCTAAAGACAGAAGGCTTAGAAAGAAGATGCTTTTAAGGGGTTATCGGGACCTCGGCGAAACCCTAGGTATATGTTGGTAAGGATTGTTTCAGTTTTTTCCTAAGAATTGATAGGTTCTATAGACAAATCCCAAACCTAAATCTATGAAGGTAAAGATTGAAAGCAAAAATTGAAGGCAGAGATCTGGAAAACAATACAGAAAACAAGAAACCAGAACACAGTCTCAGAATGAAGAATAGAAGTGGGGTTCTCAAAAGCATAAAGACAACAAGAACTACAGGGCCAAGAACAGTGGCAAAAATGCAAGAAATAGTGAACAATAAATATGATTCATGGAATTAACAGTTTAAACAGAAATAATAATGGCAGCAAGAAGAATAGAAGAATATCAGTAAACTGAATACATAAAGAATAGTGGCTTACCAGAGAAATTGAAGCCGGAATAGAATTCGCCGAAGATAGACGACGGTTACTGAAGTACCAGAGTGGTAAAAGCTTCACCAGAAAGACGAACGAAGACGGTTGCAGAACTTGGAGCCTTAGCAATGGCGGATTCAAGAAGCAAGGTCTTTAGAGAGAGAAAAGCAAGTAAATCGAATACAAAGGAAGGAAAGAAAGAGGGAAAAAACAAAGTTTTGTTAAAAACTTGAAACAGCGGCAAAACAGGGCATTTAATGCGCCTAGAACATCGCATACGTCAGACGGCGCAGACAGACGGAAGATGGCTTACAGGCGCGTCACAAACACGGACCAATAAGGTAAAGACGCGTAAGAGAAACGGTTGAGTAAATGATGCGTGACAGCTCACACATATGAAAAGGATCACTGGAATTCTTGTTTTCCGAAGGGAACATGTCGGCCTGACATGAATGATCTCGGCCGAAGAATTCTTACGCCGAGGTACTAAAAGACAATACAGATATAGGTCCCATCACCTCAGAATGCCAAGGTAATAGAACCTAGGGGGTAGTTGTAGGGATACATTTTCAGAGTACCAACACGTGGCCAAGGTGATGTCGACGTATCAGCCAAGGTGCCACGTGTCCAGGTCATGACGCCGAGGTGATCTCGGCTAGGCCAAGGTTATCTCCGAATAAGCGGATAAGGGACAAGAGTCCTAGAGTAAAGAGAAGACTTAGCCAAGATAAGGATAAAACTCTTAGGGAGTTTATCTTTATCTCTTGAAGAGTCCAAAGTCAGTATTGAATTGGAGTCCATAGAAGTCAGGCTTCTAGTGGGACTTGAATTAAGTAAACTATAAAAGAGAGGCACCCCCGTGAGTCTAAGGTACGTAAATTATGTTTTGAGCAATAAGTTTAACACTTGATTATCTTATCTTTAAGAGATATACTGACTTGATCGTCGGAGTGCCCCCGGGTGGAAGAGCCACCGCCGGAGCCTTTTTCTTTCTGTTAAAGGTTTGCTAAAGCCATCTATTATGCCGGTACTCTCCAGTTGATTACTAGGCGGGCAGTGTGGTCAGATTTTCACCCACACAATAGTTATAATATTAAATCTCAACAACGAACCCAACAAAAATATATAAATTTAATAGTATCTCATTATTATTCATTGTGAAATTTTTTTTAATGATGTAAATAATATATATCCCCATATCTTAAATTTATGACTCCTCTCCCAACATTTGGAATCCGTAATTTATCCCTAAGAATGACATTATTGCTTTTATGGAGTGTTTTGGGAATACACAAAAAAAGTTTTTTGACTTTTTAATTTTTTTAGCTAAAAAATTAAATTTTTTGGTTTTTTTAGTTTTTTTTAGTCAAAAAAAGTCAACTTTTTTACCCAAAAGAATCCAATCTTTTGCCAAAAAAATTAAAAAGTCAACTTTTTACCAACTTTCCAAAACACCCCATATATAATACCATATCACTATTAGAACCAATTACAATGTATACTATTACATTAAAGAATTCAAAAATGTTAAAAGCATTAAAAGTGGAGCTCTAATGAAAGTTCTACTTATGTGGCAATGGATCCCGCGCATGAATGATTTGATGTATGTGTTTTTTTTTTTTTTTTTTTTTTTTTTTTTTTTGCTCCATACCACATCATTAGAGCCATTATTAGAACTCCAAATTTAGAGTTACGAATCATTGCTCTAAACAATTAGGTACAATTAGTTTGATTACCCCTATAATTTATCATAGTTTTTAATTGGACAAATTACATTGGTAGTCATTTTGATTCATACACTTTCAATTGGCTCAATTTTAACCCTTAATTTTAGATTTTGTGTCAATTTGGTCCAATTGATAATACTGATAGTATTTTTCACGAAAAGTTATCACTGAATTGATTGAGGTTTAACTCATTGGGTTGAGAAAACTTATGTCATTTATATGCGCATTTTTATTAAAAAAATGCTAACGATTATATTCAGTTGGATTAAATTGAAACAAAGTTATAAATTCATGGTCAAAATCGAGTTAATTAAAATTATAAAGATCAAAATAATATAAGAATCAAAATACAAGGAGTACCAGTATAATTTGTCCATTTTAATTTTATAAATGGTTCATAGCATAAGGTTGATACTAGTTGTAAATGTAGCAGAATGGCCAAGTCCTGGAAACAATTTATTATTTTGAAATTTAATGTTTAATATATGGAAAAAATTAGTAATATTTTGCTTTACATGTTTTTGTTAGAATTTTTAGACATCAAAAATTTGCTTTGGTAGTTAAAATTCTTAAGATTTCAATTTTTAAGTAAGGAAAAAACTTTGATATAGATAGTAAAAAATACTTTAAAAGCTTAAAACCCTAAT